GTTGCTGTAAATCACAATTGACTTGGTGGCACATGATTATTAAAAATCAATTTAAAACACTGATGTTCCAGCAGGCCTTCCCTTCAGCCAATCCCTGACCTTTCCTATTTTTTTCCCTCCCCTCATTTTCGTTTCTCTTTTCTAAGTTTTTTCCTTACTTAAAAGTGTTTTAATTATATTGTAATTATCCTTGCTGTAAGCCGCCTAGAGTGGCCTTAAGTGGCTAGATAGGCGGGATATAAATAAAATAAATAAAATAAATAATACTTAGATTTCATTCAGTCTCCAAGAACTAAGTGTAAGAAGTATGGTACTCCAGTCCCCTACCCACCCCAATATTTTCTCTTTCGGTTTTACAACATGTGAGCATTCTGTCTGTTGTTGGAACTTCTAAAATGTCATTTGCTGCACTTTTACTATCTTCATCCCTTCCTGGATTGCTTATTGCTATGCCTGACAAGGCTTGTCAAATCATGGAGTTACTGAAAATAAGGTTTACCTACACAAAACATAACTTCTCCATAGAATATTATAAAGTTTTTCACTGTTCTTAGCACTGATACTCAATAAGCAAAAACATGACAGTGATAAGATTACGCATTATATGTGATGCTGTAATTACAGGCAATTGGAAGATTTGAGCCTTATGCTTCTGGGGCAGATCTTTCAGGAACACAAGGGAGTCAGCCACTATAATATACTAAGCATAATTTGTCCAGCTAGCTTGTTGCTAGTTTCTCAGTTATAAAATAAGTAAGTCTGTTACACAGTGCTGAAACAGAGATAAATATTTGCATGCATGCACACATGCACACATACAGAAACACATACATACATACATACATACATCTCAGCCATGGATTTATACAAATTAAGAAGAATAGCATTTGCTATTGAGTACTAGGTCATCTAACTGGTATAAAACAACAAATGCCTATGCTGACATCTTAATACGTGATAATTCACAGCTGAGATTTATACTAATTAAGTTATGCCAAAGGTTGTAACTAATATTGGAGAGAGAAAGAGAAAGAGAAAGAGAAGGGGAGATGGGCTATATTAGTCATATAAAAGTGTCATTTTAAATTGTATCAGATGTTAATCTTGCTTTGAAGATTAAATTTCAAGGACAAATGAATTTTCAGTACATAATTATTTCTTAGGATAAAATGTATCTGTTATAGTATTGCTTTAGAATACACCAGATGAAATAAACTATGTTTTTACTCTCTTTCATACTAAAATTGGTCTATGTTTTAACATGGATGCAAATATCATTTAGGTGAAACAAACAGTTACCAAGATGATGAACAAAGCATTTGCGGTCATTTTGAAATAATTTTTACTATCTTGCTCAAGGTCATCAGTAGGTTCTGAAGATATGAAAACCTCCAGCACACTTCCTGTATTATCTGTCACCTTCGTATATACATGCACATACATTGATATACAAAACAATCTGTCAAGCAACACCACTGAGTCTTTCTGCATTTTAAGTGAGAAATATCTGCATTTTGTGCAATCAAATGTTCACAAGTTGTTTAGAAGTAATGCTTTTTGTGTGTGTCTACGCATACACACACAAAACCCAGTAAGAACAACTGAGTTTTCTGAACCTGACAGTAATTTATACACTGATCTTTGTTAGTCCAACACAGTCAAGAGGTATTTTGACAACAACCAGACAGTTTGAATCAAATGACTTTGAGAGAATTATTACAAAAACAACAATCTCACATTAATTGGAATATTCCAGGAGCACATTCACCTTCAGATTTAAAGAAGATACTTTGTCCTCCATAAATTATATCACAGCAATCCAATTATTTGGGAATCAATACCAAGGAATATTTTCTTGGCCTCTTATTGCACCCCATTACCATTGCTGGCAAAGAACAGAGCATCAGCAGTGGTCCATGTGCACAATGTTCTATAATCTCAACTCTAATCACATTTGTCTGCAACATCAAAAGCTTAGAAATGCATCTGGTACCCAAAGCAATCAAGATCATTATTTCATTCATAGCCTCATTTTGAAACTCCATCTCAACCCCTTCACACATGCTTTGTAAGCATTTTGCCACCTCAACAGTTTATGCATTCTGGAAAAGGAGAGAGGAAGTACAGCAAATGTAATTCATGTATTCATCAAATTGATCTGCATTTTAACTCAATTTTCAAAAGATAAGAAACCAATACAAGGCAACCTTCTTGATTAATGACATTGATTCACGTGCAATTTCATTTGACAGACAAGTGGAGTTGGGATTTGTCAATATCAAGCTCTGAATGCTATTTCAAAGCCTTCAGGCATTTGCGGTATAGGAAAGTGAACATTTTATTGAGTTTCATCTTAGGAGTTACCCTGCTACATCTAACTGAACTGAAATAAGCCATTTAGTTTCAATTTCAGAATTGTAAAAAAACAAAGAAACCCTGACAAACCCTAATTTTGGGTGCGTTTTACAAGACTACCTTGAAACTGGGTCTGTTTTAATTCCTGAACATCACAGCACTTTGTGCAAAACATAAACCCAAACCAAAGGCTGATTAACAAGACTCTAATGATTACTAGATTATTGTGAAGTCCTTGAGCTAGGTCACACATGGAGTCCAAATCTTGGAGTCAGTGGTGCTTTAAATTTTCTGAGCAGCAAACTGGAGGGTCTCTTTACATATAATGTTCAATCCATTTTATTGACTCACATGATTGAAAAGAGTACCACCAGTGCCCTACCATCCCTCAAATGAGCTAGCAGAGCATATATTGTGACTTAGTTTAAGCCTTAGCCAAATCAGTTTAGGATCTGCTTGAGCTTGGTTGCTTAAACATCTGACACAGCATATGACAACATGTGAAGGGACTGTCCAAGACAAGGTGCCACAGAACCTCTAAAAACGATCTCACATTGATAAACTGAGGAAGACCCTACAGTTTTGCAATGATGGGAAATCTTACAACTGATGTATGCAAGATTTTTACACAGAGTATGTTTCAAAAACCTGTTAATTTTCCTCCTAACCAAGTAATGCACTACATATGTCTCAAAATGTTGCAAAATCCCAATTAAGACTTTATCTGCAACTTTTATGATAACTGAAGATGTAGGAAAAGAAACAGTCCCTTTAATAAGATTACACAGGAGTAACTGCAGGATCGGAAAAGGTCCTATATCAGTCAGAATGTCTCCTAATGACATTGACAGCATAACAAATTGATGACAGATGTAAAGACATTTTGAACTACAAAAACTATTTGGCATCATAGAATTATATCCACTGTTATTTCACTGAAACAGTTAAAACATTCAAACAACAAAACCTAAAAAATACAGCATGACCAAAACATATGTGGCATGCAATCAGTTAGATCTTGCATCATCATCATCATCATCATCATCATCATCATCATCATCATCATCATCATCATCATCATCATCATCATCATCATCATCATCATCATCATCATCATCATTTTATTAGGATTATAATAACTTTTTGGGGAAATATGTTAAATTTAGTTCAATGAGAACTATATCAGTTTTATTCTACAAGTTATCTAATGCTTAAAAGACCAAGCCAGTCCTACCTCCCAAAAAGTATTAATAATATCAAGGTATGTCAGGCAAGCAAGTTATTGTTCAAAAGGTTACTAGCCTTTACTTTCAAATGAATTTTTGCATCATTGCATAAAGATGATATAATAAATAGAAATGAAGATGGAAGAAAGCATTGAAGACCAAGTTCATGCTTCACTATGCTGTAACAGAATATCCAATTTAACTGTACATTTTATCTTCTACTGAATCATAGTAAGTTTGCTTTTCAGTGTAAGTGGCATCATCATCATCATGAAGGAAGAGGAGGAGGAATACCTTCAATGTGCCAATCCTATATTCTTACTATACTTAAGCCACTGTTGGTCTAACCTGCAGTGTACAAGGCCATAATGCCTCTTTCTTGCATCCACATTTTACCATCTAATTTCTGAAGAAACATTATAGTCTAGCACCTTATAAAGCTCCTGCCAATCTGAGTAGACAACAATGTATTACTTTGGGGTGGACACCTAGGACATTCTTGATGGGCTGCAACTCCTAAGGCCTCAGCCAACATATAGTCACCTCCAGCTATAGCAAGATCATTTGATTCAACCTTCTATCAGGCAGACAACAAATAGTTTGTGTGCAAAATCTTGCTTCTACCATCAAACAACCACATACCCAGGGAATGCACTATAAGAATGAAATAGAAGTCTTCTTTTTTATTCATTTTGTGCATTCTCAGAGAAACATGAAGAAGGATCTATATTAAATTACAACGTATGTCCTTTTGTGTGCAGAATTACACATCTTGCTTCTACCATCAAACAACCACATACCCAGGGAATGCACTATAAGAATGAAATAGAAGTCTTCTTTTTTATTCATTTTGTGCATTCTCAGAGAAACATGAAGAAGGATCTATATTAAATTACAACGTATGTCCAATAGATAAAAAGTAAAAACTTTTTTTCAAATAAAAGAAAAGAAAAAAGAAAAAGAAAAAAGTGAATTCAACCATAGTTGGTTATTCTAAACATATATCAACAATAGTTGTTATCTGGCAGAGCACTTTTAACAACTAGTATTAGAATGCTCTGGGAAGTTCAAATTGCCATTCTCATAGTGAGGGACAAAGTACCCAAACAAGGTCAGCACAAAGTTAACGGTATTGCTTACTGCAAGTGAATTTGGCACAGAGTCAGAAACAGCAGGAAACTGAATGCTTTGTCATCCAATTTGCTAGATAAATTTCAAGGCTTGGATTATCAGGAAGCAACGAAAATCAGTTGTAAAGAAACAAACTGCTCTGGAACAAAAATCACACACTTAATGACACACCTATGATGCATTATGTGAAAGGTAGCACACACCATAAACCACAATGAAATAAAATAAGTTCTCATTTTTAAAAGATCCCAGTGATCATAATTATTATTTTTCTTGTTTTGTTTTTACCTTCTTCTGGTCTTCCAGCTTGTGACTAAGTGGATTTCTTCCATGTCTGCTCATTTCTGAAGGTAAATCCATCACATCTGTTCCTTGTCCCTCAAAATGGAATTATCACCTTGCAATAGCAAACTAATCCACAATGTACCGTCGACAGACACAGAGATAAGCTGTGATTCCCATCACACACCTTTGTAGAAATTCACTGACGCTGAAGAACAATTTAAAAATCCATGGACTGAATAGATGAAATAAATTTCACAATTCTTTCTCGGAACATTCCGAATCAACATATCGTTCTGAAAATCCAGTACATCCAAAGGGAAATGAGGATCCACTCCTTTCGCTCCAGTTGCTATCTGTTCCTTTTTAAACAAGTTTCCATTTTTAAAGGTTACATCTTGTCTGTGAATCTGTTGAGAAAGAAACACAAATTATAACTGATTGTTGGCATTTTATATTTTCTGTCTTCCCATGCTTTATTTTTTTTTCTTGTGGGGAGGGAAACTTGGTTATCTGGTTTTAGACATGAATAATCAGTAATCAGTCAAAATCAAGGCTACACAACATGGCATAATATTATACATGCTAGTCCTTGCCTGTATTTATGGACCACACAATTACCTTGTTACTTTGAGCAAATATTTAGTATTTTGTCTACCAAACCAGCAAATGCATATTTTGTGCTACATCTAATGGCACTCAAAAGATTAACCTCAAGAGTGGTAGTATATGCAAGAAACCAACTGGTTACAGAGGGGCATAAATTCAAGACAGGAAATAATCCTAACATATCAGATGGTCATAAGAACTGATTATTTCAAACATGCAATTGACAGGCATATACAGTAGAACCCCCTTATCCATGGGATCAGTATCCACTGATTCCCTTATCCACAGTCTGAACATATTAAAAACATTTAATGAAAAAAACTATTTTCACATGTTTTACCAGAAAGAAAAAAACTATTTTCACATGTTTTACCAGAACTGGCCAATAGAGGGAGCCAGATACCATGCTATCAACACTTGTTAATGAAGAATACATAGCATGGTCTTTGGTGCTCTCCAGTGGCCAGTGCTGGTAATGCATGTGAATTTTTTTTCCTATTTTTTCCCTTTTACCTCTCTCTCTCTCTCTCTCTCCTGGTCTCTAGTGCGCTCCAGTGGCCAGTACTGGTAATGCATGTGAATCCCCCCCCATTTTTCCCCTTTTACCTCTCTCTCTCTCTCTCTCTCTCTCTCTCTCTCTCTCTCTCTCTCTCTCTCTCTCTCTCTCTCTCTCTCTCTCTCTCTCTCTCTCTATCTATCTATCTATCTATCTATCTATATATCTATCTATCTATCTATTTATCTATCTATCTATCACGTTTGGTATTATCCACAGTTTTCAGTATCCACGAGAAGCTTGGAAACAATTTCTAGTAGCTATGGGAGTCCTAATATATATCTCTTGTGAATCTGACCACATGTTATCACTGAGGGAGCTAAACAGATAAAATAAAGCCACTAAGGATCAAATAAGACACAATGGCAGTCTAAAACAAGACCTGCCTCAAGTATATATAAAATGAGTGTGTGTGTGTATTTTAGAGCAAACATGATGTGGTGTGAGCTTAATTATTTTAACCCCCTTCATGCTATTGTCTTTGACTTTGGCTCCAGATCAAAGTAATTAAGTGAACAGAACAGAAGAACAAAGATTTGTATTTACTACAGTCAGGTATCATGAATCATTGCAAGTAATAAAATGTGCAACAATACTAAAAACAACCAAATCAGCCGAAGATTATTTTTAAGTATGCAGTGCTATAAATTCCATACAATTTTGGCTTGCATAACACAATTAAATGTGAATTTAACCTGTACAAAATTAAAATCAATCAAGGTAAATAAATCAGCTTCAATGTTATTACAGTTTATTTTAAGCACATAATATTTTCAAAATAGGATGTTACCTCACATTGGACCCTTCCTTTCCAGTAAGCTAAGAAAGGTGGTGAGCAACACTGGAGGCATTCAAGAGAAAGTTAGACAACCATCTGCCTGTATATATTTTGATTTGAATTCCTGCACCGAGCACAAGGATGGACTCAGTGGCCCTGTAGGACTCTTCCAATCACATTATTCTATGATTTTATGACTGTATGTTGTTGTTCCTGTTTCCATTCAGGTACATCTTAAGGTAACATCTAATTAGACCTGTGTACCAGTCCCCAATTCAGTTTGAATGCCAATTTGACACTACAGGATGAAACTTGATTTAGGCCAAAGGGCTTGAGGCCCCATCCAATGTACCCTCTAATTTTCAGCCCCACTGATCAGGGCTCCACCTTGCATATGTGTGACATCATCCCTGTATGTGTGTACATGCCTCCACCCCCCCCCTCATGCGCAGGGTTGCATCACAACAGGAGCCAAACATGATTGCTATGCAGAGGAGGAAGACAGCTGCTTGAGGCCCCATCCAATGTACCCTCTAATTTTCAGCCCCATTGATCAGGGCTCCACCTTGCACATGTGTGACATCATCCCTGTGTGTGTGTACATGCCTCCACCCCCCCATGCGCAGGGTTCCATCACAACAGGAGCCAAACGTGATTGCTATGCAGAGGAGGAAGACAGCTGTACAGAGGAAAGCGGAATTGTGTGCATGCACTCACGCACACCCAGCTTAGAGAGAACCTTGGTCCCATCATATTTGACTCTATGCACTGGATCTGAATCGGCTTATAATTGCCAGCCTCCCATTTACCTGCACTGGAAAACAAAATCCTCTATTATTTTTCAAAAAATGTATACACATAAAATTAGGGTACATATAAAGAAGGAAGTAAAGGGTGTGTATAGAGTGAAGTAAACCTGCCAAATTTCAAACAGCTAGCTTCAAAGGTTTATATACAAGGGACCTTTAAAGTTCTTTTTTGTTTGTTTATTTTTCATACACTGTTCTTTAAAAGCATGTGAACTCATTCTTGTCCATTTATGTTATTTTTGTCTTCACTGACACACAAACACACTAGAAAGAGTCTTAAAACATATCCAGAGAGCAAGCAAAGCATAAACATAAGGCTAATAATATAGATAATATATTTCATTATCTAAATAACATTCAGATGTACACACAATAAACACATTAGAAAACGCAGGATCAGGCAAAATTATTCTAATTGACAAAACAAAGACATTGAATGTATAGAGAGATAGAGCAATCAACAACATCCACCGATTCCATGATATGAAAAATCCTGCTGTAATAATGGATATTGTGACAGTTGGTACTAGGTGTTTCGGGTTCAAATCCACACTTGGCTAGGGAATCTCACTAGGGGATGGCACTGGTAAAACCACTCCTTAAACATTCATCTTGAAATCATGCTAGGGTTGCCATACATAGCAATCAACAACATCCACCGATTCCATGATATGAAAAATCCTGCTGTAATAATGGATATTGTGACAGTTGGTACTAGGTGTTTCGGGTTCAAATCCACACTTGGCTAGGGAATCTCACTAGGGGATGGCACTGGTAAAACCACTCCTTAAACATTCATCTTGAAATCATGCTAGGGTTGCCATACATAGGATGCAACTTGACAGTACATAACAACTGCAATTGAAAGGAGAGTGGTATCAAATAAAATACTATATGACTTCAGTGACTTCACCCAATCCTTTACAGCAAGCACTGTGACTGGGAAGTGGTGGTGATAGTCTTGCCTCAGATTGCATATCAGAACTGTCAACGAGCAAGACCCTTCCTGTACCTCTCAATCACACCATCGCTTGTTTGCACAGCTTCTCTCCACAATTTGACTTTTCCCAAATCATTTTGCCATGGTGGTGCTGCGGATTAAATAGCAGAAGCCTCTGTGCTGCAAGGTAAGAAGACCAACAGTCGTAAGATCAAATCCATGCAATGGAGTGAGCTCCCGTTGCTTGTCCCAGCTCCTGCCAAGCTAGCATGCAAATGCGACTAGATAAATAGGTACCATCACGGTGGGAAGGTAATGGCGTTCCATGTCTAGTCGTGCTGGCCACATGACCGCGGAAACTGTCTTCAGACAAGCGCTGGCTCTACGGCTTGGAAATGGGGATAAGCACCACCCCCTAGAGTCGGACACAACTGGACGAAATGGCAAGCGGAACCTTTACCTTTACCTTTAACTCATTTTAGACATCCAGATCTTTGGATCGATGTAAATCACCTTGATCCATTCCACTTCATCCCAGAACCAAATCTATGTGTACCAATCTGAATCTCACACAAATCATGTTAACTCAGTCCAGGATTAGGGTGAAGGTGATGCACAGATTTATACTTAATAAAAATTCTTATTTTATTTCTCCAGATTCTCTTACAGAATTCCAAAATAATTCAGCTAGTCATACTACAGCCTGCATTTATCAGTAATAATGCATAAATCTTTATGAAATACAGTAATAACACTATATTGATTCTATCTTATTTAACCAATAAATGCACAGAACAAGTGCATTAAAAAAATAAAGTTGCAGAATGGATTGATATTAGCATTTTGGCTCATGGTCATTTCTTGCCATTGGTCTAGAAGATATATCTTGTAGGAAAGGCCTAATATTTGCACTGCTTCTTAGGAGGAAGGCCATTACCATTTATTCACTACCAAAAGCTGGATACTTTACTGATTCATTGACTCTCAAGAGCCACTTATCATTGGCACAGCCATTTTTTATTCCCACACAAAGCATTCTCAGAAATATATCCCTGGATGAAACTGACTTGGAGTGTGGCTCTACCCCTGTCAAAAAAAATCAAACGAATATGCCTTATATCTTCTCCCTGACTCATTTTCAAGTTAATAGCAACTTCTGTGTACAGACTGAGATGCCATGCACAGAAGCCAACTCTTCCGTTATTTATCATTTTACTTCAATCTTGGAAAGGCTGCCAGACAAGTATGCCCTTCCTTTCATCTGATCCATCATTTAATTTGTTGGTCACTGAGGAAAAGAGGAAGAAAATATATTCAAGGTGTATTCTAGACAGGTAGTCAATAAAATGTGCTTCATCCCTGCTTTTCATCACAATTTTCCTAGGGAGTTAATGTGTAAGGTAGGTGCATTTTTTAAAAGAAAACCTACGCCACTATTTTAAACAAGCCAGACTAAATTTCTTAGATGTTGGATTAGAAACTTCTGTTGCTGCTAAGCATAATTTGTAATATTAACAATTTTTAATAATATTAACCATAGCAACAGGAAGATATAAAAGAAAATAGCTGCCTTAGAATCAAATATTGTGAAGGCCTTGTCCACAGAGCTACGGGGAGAAACAGAACCTGAGAGGAGTATGCATAGGAACACAGGAAGCTGCCTTTATACTAACTCAGACCATTGATTCATTTAGCACAATATTGCCAGGATGTTGTCC